TTTTTTTTTTTTTTTTTTTTTTTTTTTTTTTTTTGTTGCCCTCTTGCACCGATTTCGAGGTCCCCAGAGAATGTCATCCATAAAAATAAAAAAAGTGTGGCCTTAGGGAAAATACAATAGGGCTAACTACATGTACATGTACTTTTCTGCCATCCAGTCAAAATCGTTATTTGTGAGTCAAAATGCAAACAAGCAAACATACATTAGCTAAAGTGTGTAGTAGGTAAACAAACACATTCAATCTGACATTGATAGGCGATCAGTCAATCAATCTGGCAATCATGCAATCAGTCAGTCAATCAACAAAATAATTAGACCATTTAACAATCATCAGATCAGGACCTACCAGCAGTGGGCCAAATTTTGACAAAAGGTCAGCCTCACTGAACTTAGGGCCTACTTTATGTTGATAGATGAATGATAAAAGTTTTAAAATTGATTTAAACATGGTAATGAAGGTTTTACCGATGTGATTATTCATTAAATTATTGTGATTACCAAACGTTTTCTCCGTTTTACAACACCGCCATGAACTTCGAGTTTCGTCTTTGTAGAACTCAAACGCCCGTAGCATCTCATCCATGGACGAAAATCGGCAAACGGCCAGAGGCAATGTCTCGGCGGCGCTGGGGGCCGCCATGTTGGATTTCTCACTTCCGTCCCGCTGCCGTCTAGTGCCAGTGGTCTAGTGCTGACCGGTCTTCCACCTTCCCCACGGGGATCTTTACTGTTTGGAGGGCGGAAAGTTAACATCCGGTATAGTTCAGTGCGGTCAAAGCGCGGTAAGGCCGGTGGCAATGGAAAGGGAAAATACTTCATTATATGACAGCTGTATAATATTGGAGGTGAGGCAAAACCGAAACAGCAAACTTCTGTTAATATCGTGAATATTTTCTTCTTTTCTCTGAAATCTGCTTAGACAAGTACTACCTATCTCTTTCTCGATCGACACTACATACATAGAGTACACGTAGTCTGCACTGCAGTTCCTGATGTTCCTGATACATGTGTGTCAGTATATGTGAAGATAAAACTGTTGTCTAGTTCTTTTCAGGTACATAATAAAAGTTGCTGATCCAGTAGGCTCCCCTCTTTGGACTCACAGTAACACACACACACACACACACACACACACATGTACACGAAAGAGAGATAGCATCAAATAAAACAACTCCACTATACAGGTTCCGTACTTACCTGTATACTGTAGTGTACAGTACGATTTTGAGTTTGTGAACAGACTGACAGTATGTTCAACTTATTCTGTTACCCTGTTGTATGTTCTGCAGGGTACACATTGAACACATGAATTGATGTCATCTAAACTGTAACATGATTTGTTTCACATGTACAAATGTTCAAGTAGCAGATAGTAATTAGGAAAGTTTGATTCAGACATTTTTTAAATGCACCGAGCTCTACATTATGCTAATTTTATCACTTAGGTTTAGAACAACAGGATGCCAAGAAGAAAAGTCTTCTATGAAGTGTGTGACAGGATCCAGCCAGTCCCCACCAGAATATTCAGCCTTCTCCTGGTGCTTCTGCAGGGCGCTCTACTAGACGCCTTCCTCTTCCTCCACTATGGGGGGAACTGGTACTGGTGGTTTGTGGCCGATCTCGGCACGGCTGCTGTGTTCATTGCGGCATTTGTGGTGGCTGGGAAGTACTATAAGAGGACTAAACATAACAAGATGGAGCCAGAGTCACATTTGATCCAAGGGCGTGTTCTGGGTCTTCTTCCCCTGGGGTACATAGCCTGGTTCACTTACTCGGGGCTCATGGTCCCCCGTGTTGCCCTAATCTTCAAACATATAGCTGCAGGGCTGGATGAAAAAGACATCCTTGGTCCAAACTTTCTGAAAACGGCTCTGGCGTTGACTGCTCCGATTTTCCTGCTAATGGTGCTGAGTCAGCACAATAAGAGACAGACGCAGGAGAGAAAACATTATATAGAGACCTTGGTGAATGTGGTGCCATTTGATATCCTAGACAGTGTGGAGTTTCTGGAGATATTGTTTGTGCAGGAGTCAAGGCTTGTTTTGCCATTCACTTTGGAGGATTTTATCATAGCGTTTCCCTGCATTAATCTCATTATCCCAGGTACAGTGGTTTAAAGATGAAATCTTATATTTATGCCAAGTGCCATAGACAAACCATGAAGAAGTATAAAGTAAAAAAAAGTTATTTTTATTTAATTTTTGAAATTATATAAAGATTTGAAGTGTTTCTTTTTGATGCATTAGGTATTAAATTTTGAAGTATTTGTTTTTTATGCATGGGATATAGAAATTGAAACATACTAACTGAATTATAAAATTACAAAATGAATCATTGCATTAATTATTTTCTCTGTAGGTTTTTGCTTTGTAGTCCTGAGTCAGAGTTTCTATGGAGAGCGTCCGTTGTCTAGAGGATTCCAGTTCATATACACTTTATCCCACATACTTCTGGTCAATGTGCCCTTCTTAACCATCCGCATGTACCTATGGCACCTGCTGAGCCAGGACATCTCCGTCTTCCTCATCAAGAACATTATGATGATCTGCCTTGGGGTCAATGACCTGTATGAACTGTGTGGTGAGAGTGATGACGATGGTGTAGATGGCGCCGGTGCTGATGGGGAGCCAGGAGAAGCCATGGAGTTACAAGACAGGCCACCCAGCAGGGTTGTTCCAATAGAAGATGGTGAACATGGTGATGATGAGGAACAGCCTCACACAGTTTTTATATAATGCTGGTCATGTCTGTGCTCTGTCTAGGTCTGTTTATTTGAGACTTGTTTTATAGGAAACTATATTCATAGGAGTGAATATTTTACTAGAGAAAAGGTTCTGATAAGACTTCCCCATTGATCTCAGATTGTATTTATTTTTACTAGTTGGTGCTGTTTTGTCTGTCAGATGAAAGTGGCACATGTACTTAACAGACGCTGTAATGCAAGGATTTGATATACCTCCTTGAATATCAACAAACATCTTAAGCCCATTTAAAAATTTTTTTAAAATATGTTTTGTTCATGGTTTGGATCAGCATTTGAATTGCAATATTTCCTTCAGTATGAATTTTGTGTGTTTGTGTTTTAATTTGATTTATTAAGACATCAATTTGTCCTTGAATGCGGAAAGTTTTGTTTCCTATTTGATAACATTTTCATTTTTGGTTTTACATTTAGCATGTGTTTTCAGTTTTGATTTGGCTTTTGAACTTTGTATATTATTATTATTTGCAAAACATTCAGTCATTCACATGACTATTTATCATATTGTTAGAGCAAGCAAAGAACAATGTGTGTGGTTTTTCTAGTTCAGAGAGTATGCATAGTGTTGGATTTTATTACCATATTTCATATAAGTAATACAGTACCTGTAGATCTAGGCATTGCATGGTCGTAGGATTTTTTCTTTGTATATACACGTATATAAATATATATTTTTGGTCAGAAGTGATTTTTGACCTTTATAGCAAGGTGAAAATGGAACGCAACGACTCTAGCTTTGTATATTTAATTTTTTTTCATGTTTAGTGCTTAGCAGTATGCTGTTATTTTGGTGAAATACTCGATGTAATAATGTGAAGTAATATTTTGCCGATGGTCACAAGTTTACACGTAACGTAATACAATGGTGCTTTGTGAAAATTTTATACCAAAGTTTTCTAGTACGTGAAGTGTTTTTTGACAATCTTAAATAAAATATATTTAAAATACAGGTTATGTTTGGCTATCTAATTTCGATAAATACGTAGATTATACTATGACCAGATAATAAGTACAAGATTTCATTGTCAAAATGTTTTATTAAAATCAAAAGCACGTCGATTACATAATACAATTTTTGCTTATCCATCAATAGTAGCAGTAAATACTGAGAAGAACTCTGGATAGAAACTTATTAATTTGAGCTGTGTGGCTGATACAAATGTACATAGCATATAGTTAAAGTACAAAAAAGAAAACTCCCGCGTCTCTAAAATTTCTCTCACGTTTACAATAGCTGTTTGAGTTAATCACCAAATATCGTAGCAAGTAATACTGTATGCGTTTGAGATAATGACAAAGCGTTTTACCAAAATTGTTTAAAACACCCACATTGCCTTGAATTTTGAATTGAGACAGTCTCCATAACGGCGATGCATAGTCCGCATTTCGAGGGCGAATTTGAGCAGAATTTTTTAAAAGCACATTTGGTTTCTTGAACAAATATAGTATGAATACTGAATATCACATGATTTTGACCGCCTTTGGAACGACGTCCAAAACATCGTAAAGTCATCAATTACTTTGAACAATAATACTCGGATTGATACAGTACGGTACATACAACGTACTCACTATTACATAAAAAATTGAGCAAAGGTGTTAATTGATCACAGCATGTTATTCATCACTTCATCTCCATATTTGATTGAAAATAAGCAAAATGATCTGCATTAATGTTTGATACAAACACGGGCACTATAATACGAGTATGTACCTACAAGAGAAGCATGATTCCTATGTTCTAAATTAAAAATTTTGATGAAATATCCAATTGAGCAAAGAACAGAAATGCACATACACAAAAAACAAGGAAATTCGTGGTAATATACAGGGAATGACATCAAATTATGGTTGGCACGTTTCTTGCGCATGCAGAAAAGTTGAGCAATATGATGATGAACGAACACACACTACGATTAGATGAGATCAAAGAGAGACGACTTAATATCGAAAGTACCACCCAGAAAGTAACCCCTTACATTTCCCTAGAATATCATAGCTCTGTATCGAAGGACCAATGCGATTTGTTTGTTGTTTATAATTTCACTGATATTATCATAATACTGACGTTTTGGAATACAGAAATCACGTTTGAACTCTCTCGGTTTTTTCCAGACTTTAAGTTGATTGAGTATAATATTGGCAATATAATGAAATAGCGATCGATCTTGCAATGTAAAACTATACAGGGTTGTTTTATATACAGAGTCTTTGAAAATGAAGCAATCTGAGCACCAAGCGTATTGACTAATATGGCGGACCGTCCAGGAGAGGTATTATCTTTGGAACGAAGAAGCAGACGAATGTTGTGTCAGGGATGAATCAGAGGCTTGAACGAGTAGCAGAGAGAGCATTTAACATTTTTTCACACCAATTTAGCTTTCATATTTTTGGACACCCCCCTCCCCCTTCTCTCCCCCCCCCTCCCCCTCTCCCAGCCAAAATTAAATCCACCCTTCTCTCACTCAGTCTCGTTACAGCCCTACTAGAAGCACATTGATCTGTTTCTTCGACCACATGATTATACATGTCCCGGGCCAGATTAGCTCCAATCGGGGCGGTCTGAGAGGTCTACGCTAGGCCGCCTGGTGCTGCTGCCCACTGGTTTAGTGATGCTAGTATTCCGGGATTTTGGTGGTGGGTTTCTTTTGCGAAAGTGTTCCAATGGAGGGATGAGAGCTGAAAAGTATAAAATGTATGGGTTACATGATAGCACGTGCATTTTCTAGCGAGAATACAGTGTATACATGTGAATTGTCGTTTAAGAAAATTATTTGTCAGTTTTGCTTCCCTTTTTCGTATAAATGGGTGAAAGTTGTAAAAAATGAAAATCCTGATAACGTACTAGCTTGCAATTTCCCATGGCATTTAGACCAAATGGGGAAAAAACTGGTCATTATGGGTTGTGAATCGAAAAAACTGGTTATTATGGGTTGTGAATCGAAAATACTGCAATAATCCTGACAACTTTCACCCATGGTATTACATGGGTGACCTTTGTGCAGTAATATCTGGTAGAAGAGAAATATGGCCCAACACTGACAACAATGGATGCAAACAATATTTGGTTCAAAGTGAATCTTCAATCCATAGATTTGTGTTTTCTTAATTGAAAAATATGACATCTGTTTTAACAATTAAATGTCTTAACTTTACTGTAATCTCAATTGTGTATACATATCTTCTCAATTGTGTATACAAAAGTAATGGTTTGTGCCACGCCCATGGGTGTCTACGAGTAGAACTATTGGCGTCAAAGTCATACGCTACTGCTTTACATAAAAAAACACAGCACTTCTACTTCTACTAACGCACTTCTATTACTACTTCTACTGCTGGTGCTGTTGCTGCTTGAGCATTCGAACTACACCTATTTCTTCTACTACTACTACAATAATTGGGTGTACCAATATTGTTGCAGCAACAACACCAGCGGCATCTATCGGTTATTATTGCTAGCACTATTTCTACTGGGATTACTACATTGTCACTTCACATCAATTATATTAGTGCAGCTGCTACTGATAAAACAATCACTTCCAGAAGTAAAGGGCGTATTCGCAACAAAAGAGATGAGTTAGAATGGCGAGATGAAATGTTTCTAAAAGTAAACAGCTAACGGTGCATCTCTACCGCAGATTGTGCTACCACAAACACAATGTGACTACGTAAAATTACCGATTATGTTCTTGGCGCGTTGCCAATTCCTAGTACTGTTTTGTATGAGCCGATACCGTATCTTCCAACTGAAAATGAAGGAGAAATAAAAAACATGCCAACATAATACAATGCACACAAGAGTATAAGCGCTTATAGCAACGATGACGATGATATTTGAAACAATTTTAAAGAAGAGGTGAAATTAAATCAATATTTTCAGAATAGATATATAAATAATACAGAGCGTTGAAAAGATATTAAATTAACATAAATAAAAGTGCAGTCTGAAAGATTTCAAGAGAAATGTAGAAGAGTGATTAACTTATTCAAATCACCATTCGAGAAAACTTCATATTCTTATTAACCCGCCCCCCCCCAAAAAAAAAAAAAAAAAGAAAAAAAAAGAAAAAAAAGAAAGAAAGAAATTAACTAAGAAAATTTGCCAACATTCCTTTCAACAAGTGTCAAAACCTTGCAGGTATTTAAAGACCTCATGCAAAAAAAAAGCAACGATAGAGAGAAGAAGCTTCATACTATTTCAGAAAGTAACCTGTGGTTTCTTGGAATTGTTCATGACCACATATGATCACGAACCCTGTCCCAGTGACAAAATCTAAACTATCTGTTTAAAAATTACTCACATTTCGTTGGCTCTGGCCTCTTTATCAACCAGTACTGGAACCCTTCCTTTGCTCTCTGGTTGAACGTTGTGTGTAGTTTTTCTTTATATGTCAGGCTTTTTGGGCGCTAGAAAAAAGAAAGAGGTACACGGGTGTAAATATTATTAGTTAGTTTGATATTTGTTCTGACTCTGAGTTGAATAGAAAAATTGTTTTACGGTGACAGGCAGTACGGTAGGGTTGCAACTGGCTAATTTGGTCGTCACATGTAGCATTACTAAACATAATACAGGCCACTAATATCATTGTCTGGTTAGGCCTACCTTGTTATAGCTTCCTGGCAAGTTACCGCCGAGATGTTGGGCAAGTATATCGTCAAATCGTTGTTCCTTTGGTATTTGGGACACCGTGCCGTCGGCCTCAAACCGGAAGCGCACCTGTCCGTGACCTGCCGACTCGCGATTCCAAGCATCGTCATTGCGTATGAACTTCAGGTAATCGTCTGTTGACCTTAAAGTGACTTGATCTGTGGATTTGAATAAAATGAAAATATTTTTGTTATTTGAATGATAAAAAAAGAGTAGAAATAATAATGCTATTAATAATAATACTAAATTGATCACTAAATTATACACAAATTACATTTTTACAGACTCTCTACACTAAAAGTTTTTATATTTATAAAAAATACATAGTTTACTAAATTAAAATGATAATAAGTTAACTAAATTATAATGATGACGATAACATGAAGAAAAGGTTTGATCAGCATATATCCGATACTTATAATTAACCATCGTTTTAGTCAAGGAATGCGTGCTTTGCTGTCCCGCGACTCAGTTTCTACAATTTTTATCAGACAGTTTACTGAGTCACTGTGGTTATCTGCTGGCGTACACGTGTTATCCTGAAAACTTTAACTTTTTTCTGAGTAGATTTAGTTTGCATACGCACATACTCCCAATACACACACAAGCACCCTTATTTATCTATGCACCGAACCTCTAATGCGTAATGAGAGAGAGAGAGAAGGACAGAGAGTGACTTACCACTCTGTTGCGGCATACTCCAAGTAGGTCCTATGTCCATTCTCCTCACTCCTGCTGGGGCAGAGTATGATAGCGCCTGGAAAATCCAATATAAAAATATGCAAATATAATACTACCATAACTTCTATGTTGTTATTTTTCAACTGGAATCACGTTTTGTATGTGGTGTGAATAAAGAAACATACACGGAGTTCATGTATACCTATGTATACCTAATATGGGACAGTTCAATAATAGCAATAAATCCTTCAATATTTGTTTTTAAGCGTTTATTTGCCTAAGATAGTAGGGGAGGCATGATTTACACAAGAGTCAAATGTATACTCACTCAAGTAGGCCTACTTGACAGCAGGAATGAGTGCGTGCGTGTATGTGTGTTTTACAAGAAGTCTGCAGTATAGTGTTAAAAACGATTTGTATTTGAAAACCATGAAGGTGTGAACGTTAAAAAAACCAATTTGATAAACGTTAATGGTGTACATGGACCAGTTTGGTAGTACTTACCCGTAGTTTCATCTTGGCCCAGTGGTCTGTGTTTCCCTTGGGTCTGACGGCCACGGGGTCATACCGGGACCAGAACGTCATCCTGCCACAGAAATAAGACAATATACTTCATTTAGTTGCTCCAATGCAAAATGTGTACATTCAACATGTAGACGTGCCAAAATGTCGAAGTTATTAATCAAGGCATTCTAGACATGCACAGAAAAAAAATACAGTATATGATGAAAAGGAATTGTCCTACTTACTGTACTTGTACAGTTATTTCCTTACATCAAGTGTTTTAAGTAGCCTTGTTATAACTCATTTATATGCCGCCATTTAATATAGCAGACATTTCACGTGCTGTAGGATTTAATAAGCCTATGAAGTATAGGCATGCAGACTTTGATTATAACAGTATAGCGATTTACTGAGTTTTGATTGGCCCTAGATAATTCTGAGACAGGTAACGGATTAGTGAGGATTATGAGGAGCTGACGGCTGTGGGTGGTGGTGGTGGTGGTGGTGGTGGTGTCTGGTTCGAAGGGGGGGGGTATATGAATATTATATTGAATATGTTGAGGCTGGATGTTATTACTGGAGTGGGTATTGCAAACGTTTTGAATCATGCGGATGACGTTGGTGGTGATGGTTGGGGTCTGCTTTGGAGGTGGGGTGTCAGTTTTATAATAAAAAAAATCTATCTTAAAAAATGATGATGAATTTAATATAAGCAGTGGGCCCGGGTAATGAGGCTTTGAAGGGTGAGGGTGGTAGTGGGGTGTCTGGATGGGGGTGGGGGTGTCAGGGTGGGGGTGGAGCTTTCCTGTTGTTTGTGGTTGTGTCTGGTGGGGTCCTAACATTTGAAAACTGATAACTTATTTAAAAGTAGAGTGTTGATATTTAATCGTTGTTTACTTCAATTTTGGTCCTTTTTTTCAATTTTTATCCTGAAAGAATATGATAGGAATATTATTTGTTTATAGTTTAATTTTTTTCTAACCTTGTTCGCTTTAATGGATGATTGTTATTAATATGTCATCTTAGAATTCATTTTTTTACATTTTGATATATATATATATATATATATATATATATATATATATATATATATATATATATATATGAACAAATGTATTAGTGTAATAAACATGAATTCTAAATCACGATGCTAGAAGAGCAAACAGCAACGGCACATTTCTATACCCTAATTGAGACGCAGAGTTCATTTCATTGTTCGTTTTGTTGTTATTATGCACAGTATAAACAATCTCTTTATACTCACTCTGTCTTCCTTGGGGGAGGGGGTAAAACTGCCATCTGAGACATCGTGTGTGATCCACAAGTTCCCTTATTTCTCCAACGGAAGATATATAACTGGAACTTTTTTACCAGTAAAATGCTCCACTGACGCGTCTTGAGCTTAGCGTCCCCTTATTTCTCAACACAAAAATAACTGGGACTGTAGTCACTGGCAGGCAGCGTTTTCAGACCGAGTGTCAAGCTTCGTCCGACGTGCGAATTGAGGGAGATGAAGGCGCTTGAATACCTCTTCAACACTCTCACCAAAAAATTGTGCTCAAAAATCAAAAACCGTGCGATTCTCTACTGTAACTACTACAAATCTAAAGTCAGACTACCAGCTGTGTAGCGTTCAGCTGAGCTCCGACTATGAATGGTTCCCAACGCGCCTCTCGGCCTAGCAACGAACAACAAAAGTTCCAAAGTTCGACTGTTTACACAGGATCAATCTCGCAATGGCGACCACAATGGCAGCGGCATGGTGATATTGATGGTCGATTGTTATTGATGAATTAGGCCTTGCTTCGCGTGTAATCATGTAATAAATGTTGGGGTAAATGAGCCATCGGCGTATGAATTGAAGGCGTTGATGTAATGAGATATAATAACACACAATGAACTCAGAATTATGCCTGGCTTTAGCTTGAGCACATTGGGTTGAGTTACATTAGCAGCGTGCCTCGGGAGGTCTATGCATATATTAATTAAGGATAATGTATATACTGGTATTTCTTCGCGCGTGAAGTCACACTTAGCAAAAGGATATCAGAATAATCCAACAAATTTGCCTGAGTCTTAATGCACTGGATAATTAATTATATTTGATAAAAAAGTTGCAAGTTGAATAAAAAAAAACGCGCGTTTTAAAATATACCTACATGTAAGTGTAAGTTTTGCCAACGTATTTTAAAATTGATTAATCTCGTCACATTGAAACAAAAATGTAGAAATTGATTTTTTTAAATTTGAATTAATCGCGTTCTTATATTCAGTGCCTCAGTAAATACGTTTGCAGTACTTCTTAAGTATAGAAGTTAGTCTGTCTATATAAATTTTTGATTTCATAGAAAATTCACAAACAATACTTTAAGAGGGACATGTCAATGGTGTATAGGTTCGTCTATGTACATTAACCAGTATATGTTGTCGAACGTTAATGCATGCCGGGCGTCGTTCTTGTTAAGGTGAGGACGTTTTTATTTTCAGATAGCTGTGCTTCCCAAGGAGTATAGGCCTACTACTAGTTCCAAATATGTTTGATATTACCAGTGAATCAGGAATTTAGTCGTTTGTTGATTTATCAACTAAGAGTACCTCCTTTTCTTTGCAATAACAAGTGACCATCGTAACATTGGATCCTTCAGATTGCATTATTTTATATAAGAAGCCAGGCAATGAATGCAACAGGTGAACCGAGCGTCTGTCACGTGACCGAACGTCTCCTGCGTCACGTAAGGACATACAGTGTACAGGCATCTGTATATCGTCCGTCGTAGGGATGGGTATATCTAATTTTTTTCACAGATCAGTTAATCATCGGTTGAGGAATTCGTGGACCTGCTGTCTGCTTATAAACCTGCTATGGTTCTTGTTGAGGTGCACTGTTATCTATACGATGGGAGCGTGGTCTTATTCTGTGCCCTGGGGGATTCGGGTGTCCCCGCCTAATTTTATTTCGGTTTACGGTTTTTGTCGGTCCTGTCTGTTGATGACGTAACCAATATACCTTTCCTCTTTACAAACAACTTCATATTGTGGTAGCCACTTTGTGGGGTCTGCGCAGGGTTCAGATTAGCTAATTTTTCCTGTGATGTTATTTCTATTCAACTGCGAGCCCTGTAAGGATCGATTTTGTATTCACAAACTGAGAAGAAGTAAGCAACGAGAGTCGTGTATTTCGATACAGATTTATTCCCACTGCCTAAGTTCCCCCATATCTACACCACCACTTTTCTATTACCTATTCATTTTTATCTTCACGAGACAAGGGTCACGAGAGGCTCGCGACATCTCACGGGTAGTGGGTCATGCTTAGGGGTGCCATCGCGTCCCTTACAGTGGGTTCCTCTTGCAAAATTGCGGGGTAAGACCTGAAAAGTATAAAATATATGGGTTATATGATAGCATGTGCATGTGTTACCATGAACACAGGGGGTATATGGGAATTGTCGATGAAAAGTGTTCGTCAGTTTTGATTCCCTTTAACCGAATATATAAGATGTGTGACCCTTTTGCAGTTATATCCAAAAGACCCTCATTTTAAAGATTATAATGCCTTTAGTAAAAAAAATATAGGCCTACTGTAATACATTATTCCAGGGCCAAAGAATGATTTTTACTGGATATTCACTCTGGTTAACTGATGGCAATCTTCTGGACTGTTTAAGAAAAGTGCACATAATAAAGCTGCGGCCTACACGTATTTCAACTACCTCTACAACTAGTCGGTGCGCCAGTACCGTTCCTGCGCACCAGTAGCAACTGTCGATTATTACTGCTACCACTATTCCTATTGGGATTGCTACTACATGTATGTTACATCACATCAAATTAATGCTACTAGTACAGCTGCTCCTGCTAAAACCACCATTTCTACAGGTAAAGGCCACAAAAGAGATGGGTTAGAAGCACGCGATGATATGTTTTAAAAAGTAAGCCACTAACGGTACATCTCTACCGGAGGTTGTGCTACCACAAACACAATGTGACTACATGAAATTACCGATTATGTTCTTGGCGCGTTGCCAATTCCTAGTACTGTTTTGTATGAACCGATACCGTATCTTCCAACTGAAAATGAAGGAGAAATTAAATATAATGCACACAAAAGCATAATCGTTAATGAAAATGATGACGATGATATTTGAAACAATTTTTAAAAAGAGGAGAAATTAAATCAATATTTTCAAAAAAGACAGAACGTATAAAAGACAATAAAAATAAATAAAAAGAGTGGTCTGAAAGATTTCAAGAGAAATGATAAAAAGAAATTTAATTTATATGTAATCGCCATGCGAGGAAACTCCATATTTTATCACCGCCCCCGCCCCCCCCCCCTCCCCCAAAAAAGAAAAATTAACGCATAAAATCAGCCAACATGCTTTTCAAAAAGCGTCAGAAACCTTGGGGGTTCCATAACAACAATGTTTCAAATAAAAACCTATTATTTCTGGGAGCCATTCTTCGTGGTTGAGTATTGTCCATGACTTCATATGATCACGACACTGTTACAGACAAAAAATTTTTTTTAATTAATAAACAGAATTATTACTCACATTTCGTAGGCTCTGGTCGCTTTATCAAACAGTACTGGAACCCTTCCATTGCTCTCTGGTAGAAAGACTTTAAGAACCTGCCGAGGTGTTGGGCAAGTATGTCGTCAAAGCGTTGATCCTTTGGTATTTGGGAGACCGTGCCGTCGACCTCAAATCGGAAGCGCACCTGCCTGTGACCTGCCGACTCGCGATTCCAAGCGTCGTCATTGCGTATGGACTTCAGGTAACCGTTTATGGACCGTAAAGCGCCTTGATCTGTGGATTAAAGTAAAATAAAAATGTTCATTAAAAAAAACTCTAAAAATTATGATTACATAAGGAAAAGACTGGATCAGCTCATACCAAGCACTTAAATGTCATTCACCACCGGTTTGGACACGGACTGGGCGACTTGCTGTCTCATATAATGTAATCAGGTTTCTGATTTTTATCAGACTGTTAACTTCAATGTTAATTAACTGTGGATGTCTGTTAATACGCATTACCCTAAACAACTTCAAGGTACACAAAGGAGAGTTATG